GATGTTCACAACTCAAGTGGAACTTAGAGTTGTCAAATCCAGCCCCAAGCGTGCGCTGTTCTCACGTGCGGCTCCCTGAAATTTTTTGGCCGGAAAATGACTAACTCGTGAACCTGGAAAGCTAGGAAGCTGAAATTTCAAAGAGATGTTCCCAGCCCACGTACAACTTAAAGATTTCATACCCAGCCTCCAGGTATGCTCTCAGGTCATGTGTGGTCCTATGAAAGTTATTGCGGAAAACTGCTAACTCGCAAACCAGAAAAGCTGGAAAGCTAAGGTTTTAGGAGAATATTTGCTGACCAGATACAACTTAGAGGGTTCAAATTCAGCCCCCACGTACGCTTGGTTCTCACATACGGCAGTTAAAATTTTTAGCGGGAAAATTGCTCGCTGAACAGCTTGGTCATTTTCAAAAAACGATTGCTAAGTGGGAGTTGTTTATTTCCTTCAATGCAAAATTTACAATGATTTATGGTATTGAGGGCACAGGGTAAGTGTGAAGAAACAACCATTCATACAGTTAACCTAATTACTTTAAATTTAGTGCAAAACGGATGATCGCACCGGTTCACCTGGTGCGTTCCAACTTGGGTTGCATTTGCATACCTGCAACACAGGCTGGAACACACCAACTTCGCTGGTGCGATCATGTGTTTTTGCACCAAACTTGAATTAGGATAACTACATGAATGGATGTTGCTTCACATCTACCTTGTGCTCTCACTACCGTAAATTATCATAAATTTTGCGTAAACGAAAATAAAAAATTTCCGCTTGGAGTTCGTTTTTTGAAAATGACTTCGCTGTACAATAAATATTTTTCTCGCCAAAAATTTAAGCGCTCGTACACGAGAATTCTTTAAATTGTATTTGGACAGGGAACATTCTCCTAAAATTTCAATTTTCCAGCCTTACTGGTTACCAAGTTAGCAATTTTCCCACCAAAACTTTCACATGCTCGTATTTGTGAACTACTGACATCTAGGGACTGAACTTGAAATCTTTATCTCACTGAAGTATAGAGAATATCCCTGTAAATTTTCAGCTCGCTAACTTTTCAGGTTCCCGAAGTCGCTCTTCCACCGAAAAATCTGTAAATTTTTTTGAGGCTTTCATACTTGGGACCCAGGCGTATGCGGGTAATGATATTAAAACGGGAAGTTTTTTATTTCTGAAGTTTGAGCCTTCTAGCTTTCCTGGTTCTCGAGTTGAAAGTGGATGACAAAAAGTGCGAACGCACAAACACACACACAGCCTCTTGCCAACATGGGTTTTTGCATTTGCATATATGCAAAAACGCATGAAAACGTACTGATAATGGGATTATCAGCAGTATAATAGTATAGTTAAAACATTCGAAATTTTGGTTTCAACAGATCAGCTTCTTTAGTAACTCTGTAAGAGACAGTAGAAGTAAGCTAGTGAGGCGGAAGTATTGCTGCAGAAGCCT